AGAGGGAGCGGCATGATTTCAGCCCCTGGCCGAGGACGCCGGTTCTTGTTTCCCGCTGCCCCTCGCCCCCCCGCCCCCAGCTCAGGGAGAGTCATTTATCCGACAAAAGCCCTCGGAGCCCCCACTCTGTGCCAGCCTCCGCTAATGCACAAAACACCGTCATGTTTGGTGCTGAACCAAAACCGAGACTCCGAGGGACCAGGTGACAAGCCCAGCTCACACGGACAGCAAGAATAACAGCGTCTGCTCTGAGCCAAGAGCTCTCCTGAGGAAATTCGGACCCAGGGATCAGAACCCCCCCCCCCCCGCCGGCCAGCCTCCAGAGCCCACACCCTCTGGTGTTTGAGTACTTACTGCTTCTCTGAAACATCTCTGGCCCCTGTCACTTGGCACTTTATATTTTCTGGGACAATCGGCACTAATTTCACAGTCCTCTCCATTGTCAGTCCATGGGTCCTGATCTGGGGTTCTGAAAAGAGTCACCCGGTATAGCCTCGGAGACCCCCACAGGCCTCAGCAGCGCAAGAGAGGAGGGACTTCAAATCCGATGTGACAGATAAGGACAATGAGGGGGTCCAGAGAGGCCAGATGAGTTGCCCAGCCACCCTCCAGTCCTCGGCTCCTTCAGGGGACTCCCCAGGGCAGAGCCGGCACAGGGGCCTACCTCCTGGTGCCTGGGCCTGCTCTCTTCCCATTGTCATAGAAACATCTGGTAGGAACAGCAGAGCCTGGTAGACCCTTTGCCCAAGCTGGGCCGCACCCCCCCCCCACCTGCCTGCCTTCCTCCTGCCTCTCTGCTTGTTAAACCTCTTACCTCCTTTGAAGTCGAGTGGGAATACGGCCCTCTCCTGCAGGATGACATCCTTGGTCCACCCTCTGTCCTCCCCTGGGCCAGCTGCCTCTGGTCTCACCCCGTACAATCCATGTTCCACCTGGCCACCAGAGCAGTCTGCCTCTTAAGGTAGCTCTAACCAGTGACCACGCTGCTCAGAACCCTGCAGCAACTCCCCAGCACCTACGAGGTCAAGTCCTGACTTAGCCAGACATTCGAGGCCTTTAATGTCTCGGCCGCTCCTCCCTATCTGTCCAGCCTCAAATCCCATCCTGCCCTGTTTCTGCCACCTTTCCATTTACATAGCATACTGGCCTCTCACACTCCCCGGAACGTAGACTGAACTGTCCCACCTCCACCTCTTTCATTCTGCTGTCCCTTTTCCCCACACCGTGTGTCTTTCAAACTCCTATTTATCCTCCAAGGCCCTGCTCAAATGTCCCCTCCGCTACGAAGCTTTCCTAGATCACCCTCTCTAGAATTCTCTACTCTCTTCCCCATACTCCAGTGCAATAGAGGAAGGACCGCCTTCCTAGGAAGGCTGAGGACTCCCAGATACACCCTACCCAAGCCCACGGAACGGATCCAGCCCACCCATCCAGGTAGCAGGCCCCCCAGGGACACAGCCCGGCTCAGCTCCCTGCAGCAGCTCTGTCTGATCACCCTTCCCCCGCAATATTCCCTGCATACCCCCTACCCCACCCCCCGACCAAACGATGGCACAGCGGAGCTGAAGTCCCCTGACTCCCAGTCTAGGCTGTTTTCCATTTCATGGGCTGCTGCTTCTCCTCTCCCCTTCCTTGTTCGCTAACACTTTCAGAGGGAAATGCTATTTTCAAAATTTGTAACTGAAAGGGATTGCCGGGGTGGGGAAGGTAGCTACATGGGCTCGCTGGGGTCACCAGGACTAAGCATTGCAGACCTCCTGGGGGACATTTTCCCCACAAACCTGGTGGCAGGCTTGGGGGCCTCCAGTGTTCCAGGGCCCTAGCCCAGCCCCCACTGAGATGTTGCCTTCTGGGAGGGTCCCCATCACAAAGCTCCAGAGGCTCTTACCACCCATTGGAGATACGCCACCAAGCCGGGAACTGGGCTCCTGTGGGAAAAATTGGCGCAGGCAGACCTCAGAGGCCGCTCAGAACCAGGATAGAAGCATCTGCAGCAGGTCAGCTAAGACCACAGAGGAGCTGTGTTCTGAAAGCCCCGAACTAATGTGGCCTGGAAATGTCTGTGACCTGTGGCCTCAGCTTGCAAAGGACAAACTTCAGTTCTCCTGCAGGGGCTTGGCAAGAGGTTTCAAAAGCTTTGCAGTCAAAAAAAAAAAAAAAAGACTTTGCTGCCTTAGCAGATCAGCAAATACCACCTGTCCTCACAACATCCATGACAAGAGGCTCCTGGCCCTGGGGGCAACCTTTACCACCAGGGACACAACGGGAGGCCTGGGGGTAGGCCAGTGAGGCGTGAACAGAGCCTGGGCCAAAAGCATGCCGTGGGGTCGCTCCCCCGAGTAGCCTCTGACCTGTGAGGAGCACTCAGGTATAGTGGGAAGCCTCTTGCTGTGCCATATAGGTTCCAGAGAAACGGAGACTCGTGTCTCCCCTACCTGGGCAGCAGGCCCCCGGGCTGGGCTGAGTCCCGGGGCAGTCCTGGTAGCTTCATTCTTCATAGCTGGCTCCTGCACACGGCGCCCAGAAAGCCACCGAGCACAGCCGTAGTGATGCACAAAGGTGCCGGATGCCCCCCCACCTCGAGTGTGTCAGGGGAGCCGACAGGGGTCACCGCAAATGTAAATATATTTATGTGACTAGCCCCCGCACTAGCTTAGAAAGTCAGAACCTGTCAAGCCAGTCCACTATGGGATGAAGTTGTGTGTTTTCCTCCAGAGAATAGCCAACAGTTCTCTCGTAAATATTAAACACAAAATATGAGACAGAGTCCCCAGGTCAGGACCGGGGCGGGGGGGGGGGTGGTCAGCACTTGCGAGTGATTCACCGGAACGTAAACTCCACGGTCTTCTCCGAGGCAAGGTGATGGATTGTGCTCACCCTGCAGCCTCCGAGCCTAGTGGGGTACCCAGCACACAATAGGTACTCAGCAGGTGTCGTTCAAAGGATGAACGCGGTGCTCCCCAGGCAACCTCTCTTCTGGTCCTTGTGGCCACCCCCTGAGGTAGATTGTCTCCATCCCCATTTTACAGACAAGGAAACGGAGGCCCAAATGTGTGGGGACTGGCCTGAGGCCGCAGACAGGGCATGGCACAGCCAACTCTGAGCTGGCTCCGCTAACTTCAAGGCCTACCAGACTTGAGTGAAGGAGGGGACGACATGGGGTGGGGAGCACACGGAGGGGAGCCCTGCAGCGGGGACCCCGGCAGAACCAGGACTGGCCGCCCTCCCAAGAGGGGGCAGAGGGAGCCGAGCAGAAAGAACCAGCCCGAACTGCCAAAAAGACACACGCACTTTAATCACTCTGGACAAGCAGGGCAGGGGCGAAGTCGGGCGAGGGGTGGCTAGATAGCACCAGCCTTCACGGCACTTGGTCGGGTCCTGCTGCCAGCCCCCAGCCACTTAGCCATGAATCTGTCGGCTACGAGTGAGCACCAGAGACCACCGCCAGGGCCACCTCAGCCTGGCAGTCGGCATCAGCACCAATGGGTAGAGGCCATTTCCCTCTGGTGAGAGGTTCAGGCCCCCTGGGCCAGGGGGAGAGGGCCGGAGACCGCCAGGCTGCCCCACCCTGGGAGAGGGAGAAAGGACAGAAGGCCGGATGTCCCTTACCTGGCCTCAGTCTCGCCCAGGGCCTGTCTTGGCAACATGGCTCAGAGGAGGCTCGCCCGCCCCGACTGACCTGGAGTGTGGCCCGCTTCAGTCCCCTAGACCTGCTGAGGGGTCCAAAGCCCGGCCCACGGCCCAGTGGCTTGTGTAAAAGCAGCATCAGGCTGGGCAGGAGCTTCCCACGGGGGCCTCATCAGCACCTTAACCAGGCCTGGAAAGCCAGGGACATGGGGCTGGCGAGAGGGGCCAAGGAGGGTCAGAGAGCACCTGGGGACAGACGACAGTGTCTGACAGTGGCTGGGGGCCTGGGAGAATGGAGGCCCAGGCACCTTCGGGAGGGTGGGCTGAGAGGGCAGGGAAGGGGATGTGTGAAGAGGGGAGGAGTCCTCGAAGGTTACCGTCCCCGGCGTGTGGGGAGCTGTGGGTCTGGGCTCCCTTCCCCAAGGGCCCTCTTCACCCCCAGGCCCCTGGATCCTCGCCTCATAGCACCTTTGCCCTGACCAAGGCCCTTCTGGGGTTTGCTTTAATGAAGGGCATTGGGTGGGAAGGAAAAGAATGGAAAGGATGAAGAATACCCCCACCTTGGGGGACTCTAGCCCACCTTGGGGATCTGCAGGTAAGGAGCGGCCACCGTGCCCGAATGCCCAGACACAGACTTCTGTGAGGAGAGCCCCGGGCCTTCATCTGGGTCTGGTTTCCTGATCCTGAGTCTTCCCACCCTGGCTGGACTGGGCGCTCACCAAAGGCAGGGCCTGCATCTGATTCTCCTCAGCTTCCCCAGAGCCTAACACAGAGTGAGTGCTCAGCGAGCGTTTGATGAATGAATAAGTGAACTGCGGCTGCATAGGCGCACGAGAGAGTGACAGAGAAGGTGGAAGGAGCGAGAGGACATGGCGGGTGGGGGAGTCCTGGAGGGATGAGAAAAGCGAAGGATGTTGGGAAGAGTCTAGAATGTTTGGAGGAGTCCAGAATGTTCAGAAAGTCTAAGAATGTTGTGAAAGTTCTAGAACCTAGTTACTTAAGTGGGGTCCATAGACCAGCAGCATCAGCATCAGCCAGGAACTTCTTAGATGTGCAGAACCCCGGGCCCACGCCAGAACCAGCATCAGATTCTGCACGTTAGCCCCGTCCCCAGGTGGTTCACACCCACTTTCAAGTTTGACAGGTGCTGGTCTCAAAGGCTGGGAAAGTTCTAGACTATTTAGGTTAGAGGACTTCTGAAAGTACATTTAAGAGAGGAGAGAGAGAGAGGAGTGAGGGAGGGAAGGAAAGAAGAGGAAGCCCACCCAGAATGCCAGGTCCCCGGGGCCCACTTTACGGAGGGGCACACCGAGGCCCTGCAGGACCGCCGCCCCCCACCCAACCCCGGGGCCGGGGCCGCCCTGCTAGGGGCACTAATCGTCCTCGGGCTTGATGAGGTGGCCGCTGAAGGTGATGTAGGTGTCCACGTCGTCGCTGTAGACGGCGTTCTCCCGCTCGCGCTTGAAGAGGCGCACCCAGACGCGGTCCCCGGGCACCAGGGCCAGCATCACGCTCTGGCTCTGCATGATGCTGCGGTCGCTCGGCTGTGCGTACAGGATGACGGCCGCCTCCTCGTTGTGCACCACGTGCACGTACGTCTCCTTGAAGTTCCAGCTGTGTACGTTGAGGCTGAAGAAGTAGAGGCCGCGCAGCGGGGCGACGAAACAGCCAGAAGCCAGGTCAAAGTGCCCGTCGGGGTTGACGAAGACGGTGTCGAACAGCAGCGGCTGGAAGCCCTCGCTGCTGTGGAGGGCCGTCTTGCGGCCCACCGAGAAGGCGGAGAAGCGCGTCTGGCACGGGCCGCCGGGGCTGCCTGCCTGCCCCTTGGCGCCCTTGGTGCCCTGCGGGCCGCGCTCCCCCCGGGGACCCTCCCGGCCCAGCTTCCCGGGTGCGCCCAGCAGGCCTCGGTCCCCTTTGTCACCTGTGGGGACAAGAAGGGGAAAGTCGGGGCAGGCACCTGGGCCTGCACCAAGGGAGTACCCGTCTGCGTTTGCAGAGGGCTCCACCCTGCCACAAGAAGGAAGGCCAGAGAAGAGCCGGCACTTACTGAGCACCTACTGCCTGCCGGGCATCACCTCCCTGAACGTCCCTCTGAAGAAGATACCATCACCATCTCCACTCACAGGAAGGTTCAGTGACTCACCCAGGGCGCTCAGGAGAAGCAGGAGAGGCAAGACTCGGGATGCTCTGTCTTCCACCCGCCCGGTCCCCTCCCCCTCCAGTGAAGGTGTGACAAAGTTCCCTGGGAAGTCAGGCCCAAACCCCAAGAGTCACTGCACCCAGCCTGACTCCAGTGGAGATGTGGGGTATGCAGGATGCACTTGGCATTCCTTTTTTTTTTTTTTAATTTTTTATTTAAATTCAATTTAGTTAACGTATAGTGTATTATTCGTTTCAGGGGTAGACTCTAGTGATTCATCAGTTGCATATAACACTCAGTGCTCGTTACATCACGTGCCCTCCTGAATGCCCATCACCCAGTCACCCCATCCCCCCACCCCCTCCCCTCCAGCAACCCTCGATTTGTTTCCCTAGAGTGAAGAGTCTCTTATGGTTTGCCTCCCTACCTGTTTTCCTCTTATTTTATTTTTTCCTTCCCTTCCCCTATGTTCATCTGTTTTGTTCCTTAAGTTCCACATATGAGTGAAATCATATGGTATTTATCTTGCTCTGAGTGACTTATTTCATTCAGCATCATACCCTCTAGTTCCAACCACATCGTTGGAAATGGCAAGAGCTCATTCATTTTGACGGCTGGGTCGCACTTTGCGTTTCTGACCCAGAGAAGGAGCCAAGGAAAATACCTCTGCCTACCTGAGGGGAAAGGCCCTGGTTAGGAGCCAGGCAGCCCTTGGTTGGTATTATGTCCCACTGGGGCATTTCATGGTCAGGGTCTTAGTTATTTTCTCTCTATCTTGAAGAGGATCATGTCCACCTCACAGGGGTGGTCCCTGGGTCCTCAACAAAATGTCCTACGGGAGAGTGCTCTACAGACTGCAAATATGAAGCAGGAGGGTCCACCCAGTAACGCTCAACCCGTTCCTGATTGCCCGGGGGTCTGGCAGCATCTAACCTCATCCTTAGGCACACAGGCCTCTCCCCAGCCTTTGTTCCAGGCTGACCTTGAACAGCGGAGGAGCAGGTGACCCCCTATGTCTTGAGACCCAAATGTCTTGATCCCAAACATTTCCCTGCTGCCTGTCACACTGCCTGAACTCCCACCATTAGCCACTCCCCTTTGAGAGATCTGCATGGCCCTGTGTTTTCCCAAGGTCTCCTGTGACCAGGGCAATATTGCTGGAAGGAGCAGAAAGGAAGGCGTAGACCCACAGAGGACAAGCCTGGAAAGAAGTGGGGAAAAGGGGGTCCACAGCTCTGCAGAGGTTTGGCCTCAATGGAGAAGGATCTCCTCATGTGCACCGCACTTTACAGTTTGCAGGGCATTTTTTTTTTTTTTTTAGCAAGCATAACTTGACTTATTGTGGTATGTCCATTCAGAGGACCTGGTCTGTTAGGATTTTGTCACAGGGGCTTCAAAACTAGGGATTCAAAGCAAATTAAGAAGAGCAATCTAATTTATGCATTCACTAGAAAGTGTCCATACTCTTGCTACAACTATGAAAGAAACTGCCTCTCTGCCCCAGCCCAGTGGGAGGAGGGTGAAGGGTGGTCCTAGGAAGGGGTACCTTCTCCTTTTTACAAACGAGGCAGCAAGCCAGGGACGGAGAGACAAGTCTGAGCCACACAGTGAGGGAGCTGAGCAGCTGGGGCTGGGACCCAGGACTCCTGACACCAGCCAGGGGCCTCCTGCCACAGCCAAGTGTCCACCCACCCCAGCAGGCAGCGAAGTATGGCCCAGGGGTGTCCTCCTAAACCTGGGGTTTTAGGAAGACAGTGTGGAGAAAAGTACCTCCAGAGGCCAGGCAGCTCCTCAGCCTCAGGCAGGGGCTCTGCAGGCCTTGGGGAAGATGGGGTGCTCGAAGAAGGGAGGTGTCTCCCCCCATGAAACCTGAGGGCCGGAGGTCTCAGAAGCCAGCCAACCCCTGGCTGGAGGGTAGACTGGCCCCATGGAGACCTCAGGGACAGATCCTGGCTTCGCTCCTGACAGCTCCTGGGAGAGCTCCTCCCCTCTTGGAGGCTCAGTTTCCCCCTCTGCCAAATGGGAGGAATGACCCAGTACTGACCTCTTGGGGTTGTTGGTAGCACAACCCCAGGTGAAGGGCGTCTAGGGCCTGGCCCCAGCCCCAGCTATTTACAGCCCCCAGCAGCAGAAGCCTCTTCCTGATTTTTGAGGACAGGGAGCCTGCTCTCACCTGGACAGCCCTAGTGGCATAGGTCTCCCTGCTTCCACCCTTGTCCCCTGCCAGCCATTCTCCACAAGACATTAGAGGGATCCATTTGCAACCTCAGTGGGATCAGGTCCCTCTGCTCAAACCCTCCCCTGCTCCCCATTCCCACTCAGGGAAACCCAAGTCTGACCCAGCCCCTGTGTCATCTCCAACTTCAGCTCCTCCTCTTGCCCCCCGCTCCTTAAACACACCAGGCCCACTCCTGCCCCAGGGCCTTTGCACCTGCTGCTCATGCTCCTTGGACTACTCTTCCCCAGATATCCACATGGCTTCTCCCTCACCTTCTCAATGAACTGACACTGACGACCACCCCGTTTAATATGCAACCTATCCCCCGCACCTACACTCCTGATGCCCCTTACCCTGCTCGACCTTGGCATTGCCATCCCATTTCTCACTATCGAACGTTCTGTCTCATTAACTTGGGCAATATATTTATTTCTCACTCTCTGTCTCTCCCACGAGAACAGCAGTCGGCACTTCTGTCTGGTTCGCTCATGCTCCGTCCTCAGAACTCAGAACAGTCCTGACACATAGTAGCTGCTCAATAAATGTATGAATGACAGAACGGGTCTGGGACAATTTTCTGTCTGTCTGGGTCTTCTGTCTGGGTTTTTCCTGCTCCCTCCACCTCACCGGTCCCAGCCCAAGGAAAGGGCCCCATGCCCTCCCCAGCCCCAGCCAGGCCGGTCTAGCCTGAGCCAAGAGCGCATAACTCACCCTTCAGGATGGTGATGTTAATGTAGGGTCTGACCTCAGGCAGCAGGTATGGGAGGGCGGATGGAGAGGCCAAGGACACTGCTTCATCGGCAGGGGCCAGGGGGTCCTCAGAGTCACAGCACCGTTGACAGTATCCGGGGGAACCCGAGGCCACAGCTTCCCCAGAGGAGGGCTCCTCGGTGGGGACCCCGAACACCAAGACAGGGAGCAGGAGTGTTGCACAGAGGAGGCCCAGGGCAGCTATCCCCATGGTGACCTGGAGCAAGGAAGGAGGGGTGGAGATTCTACCTAAGGGAACATCCACACCGCGAAGATGCCCAGCACGGATGCTGCCGCCAGAGCATCGGCGCGCCTGACGTAACTACGGGGCGGAGCGTTAGCGTCCCCATTTAACAGATGAGAAGACGGAGACTGACACAGAGAAGCAATTTCTTCAAGGTCACGGAGAGACCTGTGGCCATGCAGGGCCCGCAGGCTGAGTCCCTTGGACCCCAGTCTGCGGGGATTTCCAGCACACGTAGGCCTGGGAAGGAAACCCCTCTAAAGAGAGTCACAGCCGGGAACAGACGAGGGTCCCGGGAAGCCTTTGCTGGGGTGGGCGAGGAAGATGCTCCAGCCACCCACGTGTCCTAACCAATAAGACTGTGAAATGCTCCCCCCACCCCGCCCCGCCCACCTCCCTTTGGCGTGGTTTCTTGCCACGGACCCCTCCATCTCCAGCAAGCACAGGCCACTGGCGCAACACGAGGTTAGTGGGCCCTTGGGACAAACGCAAATGATTCTGCAGGCTTGTTTTTCAGGTGACGGGACAAGTGGCTGAGCCCATGGGCTGGCGTGTGAGCACCGTGGTCCTGACAAAGATCTAGGAAAGTTCATTTATTCTAGCAGTCGGGAAGCAACATCCAGAGAAAATGCAAGGGGTTATGCACAGTGATGCTGTTACTGCATCTCTGAGAATTCAGGAGTAGGTATGCAGAACTGCAGACTGCAGACCACTACTAGCCTGCCTATACGGTGTCCATGTGCAAGGCAGAAGCAGGTACCTCTCTGCGCGGACAAATTAGAAACAAAAAAAGAAAAGAAGTCATTTTTGGAGGAATGTAACACTAAGGGTGTGTGGGTTGGTAAGGCTTGTTGTCAACCCACCTCCCCCCCAGCACCTTTGTGCAGTCAACAACCCACACAGCTCAACCTTACACAGAAGCCCCAAGGCTCTGGAGTTAATTCATTGGAAGATGGTTGTGTCAGTCGTCACAGACCTACCAATCAGCTGCCAAGGGGGTAAATTGGAATCAAGGAGCACAGGACTAGGGGGTCTGGAAAAATCGAAAGGCTCGGAGAAGCTCAAGGGTTTATGAAGATGGGTCTTTGGCCCTGGCCAGGAGAGGTTCCAGAGTTCCAGGAGGGGGGCAGGAAGTGGCCAGGACAGCAGACACTGGGGCTGGGTGTGCAGGAAGCCGGGCAAAGAGCCTTTGAGGTGGTAGCAGTGTTTGGGGGCTGGCATGTTATCGCAGGATCAGAAACTCGGCTCTTGAAACCAGACTGGTTTTTACACTTCTGGTGTTTCTTTGTTTATTTCCTTTTTCTTCCTTTAACATTTAGTACAATTCAAAAATATGTTTTCTGTGGTTAATACATGTAAAGTTAAAATTATTATTTTTAAAAAAATGCTATTCTATCTCCACTGAGCACTGAGGTAAGGGATGGGTTTTAAAGGGCAGGAGCCACCCCCCCCCAACACACACACACACACTCCACCGTGCTGGGGGCTGGGTAGTAGCAGGGGGGCGGCCAGGCAGTCCCCAAAGATACCACCCTTCCCTTAGAGGTGACCATTCCCGAGCTCCACCCCGGTCTGCTTTCCTGGTTCTGCTCAATAAGGCAGATCAACTTCTCAGAGATTAACATCCTCTCTGTCCAAGATTATCACCCTCACCCTGTGTTTGTAAATGTCGCATCTCCGTGATTTTTGAGAAGAGCAAAAATCCCCTTTTTCCTGGCCATATATGTGACTTTATGGGAAAGAGTGAGGCCTTAGGGTTGGACATAAGATCCCATGATAGTTTACAAGCTGTGTGACCTCGGGCTAGTAGCTTAACCTCTCTGCGCCACCTCGCTTCTCCTTGACACTTAGAAGGAGCTGAAACCACTGCCCACCTCCCAGGTTATTTGGGAGGCTCTGGATGCAGGGCAAGTGCCGGACTTGTAAGACTCTTAACACAAAGGACAGCGGAGGGAACAGTCAATAACATTGCAATAACATTGTACGGTGACTACACTTAACAGTGGCGAGCGCTGAGTAATATATAGAATTGCCGAATGACTATGTTGCGCGCCTGAAACGAATATAACATTGTGTGTCAATTACATTTCAATAATAAACAAATAAGATTAAAAAGTATTCCTTCCTGTGACGGACAAGGCCCCTTCCCAGTACCCGCACGGGCTGGGAAGAGCAGAATTTCACCGGAGGACGAAGATGTTTCTGTTGGCAGAGGCCAGGTGGGAGTCAAAAGCTCTGAGACACAGAACTGTGACCTGGGGAGCGCAGGAAGCAGGAAGCAAAGCAGCCTTGAACAAGAGTAATAATAACCACAGCCATGATCATGGACTGGCCCTGGGGGCCGGGGCCAGGCAGGGATCGAGGGTGGGGGATGGTGCCATCTGGGGTGATTTGGGGGAGGGTCCCTGCTGCCTCCACTCAGGAACTGGGAGCTCTCTGGGGTGGGAGGGGGCTGGGCCTGCTGAGCTGAGGAGGTGGTGAGTGTCGGGGCAGGGGCGGGCACAGCTGAAAAAGCAGGGCAGCCCTTCACCAGGGGCTTAGGTCTCAGCCAGCAGGAGGGAAGCGGGGAAGGAGAGCTAGAGGGGCTGGCCAGGGTCAGAGCAGGGAGAGCAGAACCCAAGATGTGTCTAGGAAGAGAAGAGGGAAGGAGGGAATTCCGGGCTCTGACCCCAGCGCCTTGGGCCCTGCTGGGGGAAGTTACAGGACCTTTCATCACTCACCCTGTGTCCAGCGGCCTCCACCGTGGCTCACGGACCCCCGGCCTCTGGGCAGTCTCTGGCTTCTTGGCCCATGTCTGCTTGTTGCTGGCCCAGACCCCCAGGCTGAGCAGAAGAGGGAGGGAGAAAGGGAGGGAGAGAGGCGGAGGGAGGGCGGAGGGAGCGGGCTGAGCTGGCTTCCCACTTCCCCTCCTCCCTGCTCCCTCCCCTCTAGCCTCTGGGATCTGCGGGAGATAAAGGGAGCCAAGGGAGCTGGGGATTTCCTTTGCTTAACTCTTTGGTGGTCCAGTGGGGTCTGGTTTGAGTCAGAGGCCCAACAGAGTCAGAGCAGGAAGGGGCCTGAGGCCCCTTGAGGTGCAGGCTAGAAAATCAAGGGAAGGGGCAGGAGCCCCCCAAGTTGCTCAGGAAGGGGGAGGCAGCGCTAGAATCCTGGGTGAGGGGTGGGCTTGGCCTATTTGCTCTGCCGTCACAGGGGCAGGATGCAGAGTGGAGAGGGCAAGGCTGCCCACTAGCTCCGGACTTGGGCCGATCCCTTGACCTCTCAGTCCCTAGGTGTCTGCAGAACTCCAGTCGCCAGCCCCCTTGTGCCAGGCACAGGGGAGGCTCAGCACATGTCGATGAGCAGGTATTACCCCCTCAGGTATCAGGTAAGGGCTGGGCAGCCAGGTCAACACCCCCCCTCCCCAGTGGACGCGGAAGTCCCCCTCCTCTGCCTGGAAATCTCCCCTGATGGGTCCACCCCCGGGTCTTCTGGAGCCAACCCCTCTATGGAAATGAGCCCTAAGAAGGGTCCTGCTGGCAGGAGGGGCAGCCTGTGAAGTATGCCGCTGGACCTGGACGGGGGTCCTGCCCAGCTTCCTTCCGTTGGGCTGTGGAGGTTTTCCAAAGCGGCAGCCCTGGGACTCTGGGGTCCAAGGCCCCCTGTGCACAGACTGTCCCCAATGTCCTTCCCGCTCCAGCACCCTCTCCTTCCGCACTAGCTGAGTACTTACTGCCCGGGGCCGGGTCCCCTCTTTGCAGGGGCTTTTGGTCCCTGAAGGGCGTTCCCATCCATTATTTCAACTAAGCTGACCACAGCCTTGCGCTTTCCCAGGGTCACAGCCCCACAGAAAGGTGGGGTCCCCACCCCACTAGAGTCCTATTAGCATGCCTGGCCACAGGGGGCGGGTAAAATCTGTCCCCTGGGAAGAGGAAGGTGGTGACATTACTGCCCTCTGTACAGAAATGTTGAGATCTGAGGGGGACGGATTTCAGTCTGGGGCTTCGGACACCGAACCCTAGTCCCCACTCAACTGGGCAAATGTGGAGGATAGAAAGGTCCCTGGCCTGCGTGTCTTTGAGCACGTTGGGCCTCGGTTTTTCTAGCAGTTTTGGGGATAATCAAACAGCAGAACGTCAGGCCTGGAAGGACCCTGAGAGATGGCCTGACCCAATTACTTAACGTGACCAGCGGAGACTCTGTGACCTAGGACAGACCCCAGTCTTTGGCTCAAGGTCACAGCAGACCGGAGTCCAAGCTGGAATGAGAGTCAGACTCTCCCAGATTCGAGGTGCGGCTCTCACCTCCCAAGTCCACTTGGAGTCTTCCCCCCACCCCACACAGGCCTACTTAGGGGTCCCGGCGGGTCCCCCAAAAAGCAGATTGAAGTACTGTGGCATTGAGGAAACACCAGGGCCACACTGGCCATGCCCTCTACGTGGCCCTGCCCCAGGCAGCATTCCCAGGGCCCCGAGCCAGAGCTGCAGAGGGCGGGAGCCAGGGGGAGCCACCCTCCCCACCCTCCCCATGCCGCTACCCCCAGGAAAAGGGCTGAGTCGGCAGCACCAGAGGGGGAGACAGCTCCTGGCTGCCTCTGAGCCCTTTGGCTTTGAAAGCCTAGAGTCAGAGGAAAAGGAGAAGGGAAGGGAAGACAGATGGGGGATGGGGAGCGCAGCTTGGGGACACAGGAGGTTTATCCCACGCTGTGCCGGCACTGTGCCCCCATGCCACACTCAGCAGCCCCTCTGCCAAAGGCCGCTCATCCCATTTAACAGGTGAGGAGGCTGAGGCCAGGAGAGGGACTGGAGTTGCCGGGTTCTAGGGCCAGCTCCTTTGGCTCCCAGCCAGGCCAATGTCCCAGAAAAGGGCCCCTTGTTCTCTTTGCCCAGAATAGCTGGCTGGAGGCAGGGCGGACAAGAGAGCAAGACTCTGATATATTATACTTCAATATTTTTCCTCTCACTCTCCCTCTGCCTAAAAATACATTCATTTGTGCCGCATCCCTTGGCCTCCCAGCCATTCGGAGGATCTCCCCGGCTGGCCAGATAGCTTGGAGACAGAGCTCCAACCTGGGGCAGACAAAACTGGGTTATGTCTCATCTCCAGCTCCTTCTAGCCGGGTGACCTTGGGCACGCTTCCGACTTCTGAGCCTCGGTGTCCCTGGGCCAGGGAGACATGAGGAGGCCAAGAGCACCTGAGCAGTCTGGTGGGGTACCCAATAGGGGTGCCCTCTACTGGTCACCCATCAGTGCTTCTCCATGGTTACGTTCTGAATAGGGTAAGGGTATGAGCCCCTTCTCCTCATGCACACCTAGGAGACAGCACGTCCAGAGGAGAAGATGGCCCGGGATACCCCTCATCACTCTGCCATAACCCCCATCAGCAAGGGTACAACCCCAATGCAGAAAGCCAAAACCTCGGTCACCAAGACCAGAAACCCAGGGCAGAGCCGTGTCTGCCCCCACCCACCCCCTGCCTATTGTCCCTGCTCACAAAAGACAGCTTTTACTCCCTACCAGGCTCCGTTCTGAGGTTTTTACGTGTGTTAGGTCATCTAATCCCTCAACGATTCTCTGAGGTAGGCACAAGTATTATCCCCATTTTACAGATGAGGAAAATGAGGCCCGGACTCAAAGACTCTCAGAACCAAGCTCCTAGCCACACCTAGGTTACAAACCAGGGTTGGGGAGAAGGTATAAAAATAGTGAGTCTGCGTTTACAAAGTGCCAGGACCCCTCATGTATTTAAAAAAATAAAACGCGTGCCTGTCAAAAAGTGAGATAGAAAACATGATTCCTGGAGTCCGCATTGCAAATTGTGAACGGCAAGTTACGTACGGATCTAATTGCTCAGGGTCAGCAGCCGATTAAGAAACTAAACAAAGGAAGCCGCGAGCGCCACCTGCTGGGGAGAGCCATCGGGCCCGGCGGCTTGTGCGACCCATCCCCCCGGGCCCCCACTTCATTCCACCCGCGGCTTGTGATGCTCCCCACCCGTCCCATCCCCTTCTTCAGGAGCTAAGGGGGGTAGGAGAGGGGTAGGAGAAGGATGAAGAGCCCACTGCGACGCGCTAGGGGCTGGCTGGGGCGCCCATGCACTTTTTCCAAACCCCACTCCCCGCAAAGTGGCCAGAGGGTCCAAGGGGACCCTCCCTCTCCCAAGCAGTTCGTCCCACTTCCTCCTGCGCGGAGAACCCCAGACCTGGGTCTGCGGAGCCCTTCCACTGACCAGCCGGGTTGTCCTGGGTGAACTTCCACCTCCAGACTCAGTTTCTCCACCCTGGGCTTTCAACAATCCATGTCTGATCCCAAGGGTGTTAATCCGAGTTGGGCAAGTTTAATTCCACTTTACAGAAGGGGAAACTGAATCCCCAAGAGGCCCAGGGAAGGAAAGAGCCAGCAGGTCTTGGGGCGTCTGCCCACCGCCCCCCACCCCGCTCCAGAAGAACCCTGTGAACTGTTAGGGGGGAAACTGAGGCTAAAGGGAACAGGTGCAGCAACGGGCTCCCTCCCCACGGCCGACTAGTGGCAGAACCAGAATGATGAGGCCGCCAAGGCGCGTGGGGAGGCAGCAGCCAACCTCCCCGCGTCGCTGGGCAAAAGCAGGGGAGCGGCTCCCCGACCCCAGGCCCACCCGCTTCGGCCCGAGCACTGGGAAAAGACCGTTGCCGGCCGCGGGTACGCTCCTTTGGCTGCCAGCCAGGCTGATGCCCCGGAAAAGCACGGCCCAGGGCTCAGCCAAACCGGACCCCGCCGCGCGGACACTCGCGGCTCTGCTCTGGCCTAGGGGCCTCTACCCCGGAAGCCCAACCCGAGGCCGCAGCGAGGAGCCGCCGCGGCGCCAGGGAGGGGCCTCTGCGCGTCCGGCGCCGAGCGGAGTCCGGCACCGCAAGCAAGGCCGGACTTGGCCGAGCAGAGCCGAATCCTGCCAAGTGCTGCCGAGGCCAACTGAGCAGAGCCGAGTCTGGCCGAGCCTGGCGGGGGCGGCCGAACATGGCCGAGCCTGACCGAGTGGAGCCGAGCGTGGCCGAAGAGAGCCGAGTCCGGCCGAGTGGAGCTGCGACCAGGCGGAGGTCTCGCGGCGCCCCCTGCCGGACACAGAGCACAGCGTGGGCCCCGGCCAGAGCCAGTCTGGTACCTCCAGGTCCCGCGACAGTCCTGTGAGGTGAGGGTAGGAAGCCCATTTTATGGACGAAGAAACTGAGGCTCCAAGCGGTTCCGAGGCTAGGCCGGAGGCCCGCAGAGCTAAGAAGTGGTGGCGCTGGGGCTGGAGCCTGATTGCGTGGCTGACAGCTCAGCTGACTGCCCCCCACGCAAACAGGCATTGTGAGTTTGCTTCGTTGTCCCCGTGATTGCTGCTATTTTACGGCCAGAGAGCAGGAGGGACCTGCGCTGTCTGATGAGCGGAGGGAAGCCGGAGCTCAGAGACAACCCCTCCTTACAGATGGAGAAACTAAGCAGGCTTCGGGCCGTGTTGACCAAATGCTGCGCAGGACTGGCCGATCGGTGTGCAAATATGACATTTGCTGGTAATTAAAGCAGATAGCAGGACCCGGGGGCCACGTCCCACCCCTGGCCTCCCTTTGCCCACCTGTGACAAGCCGGCCACAGGGGATCTCGGCTCCTGGCTGCCTCCAGGCTGTGTTCCTGGGATGTGTGAACCAGGACTTGAGGTGTCTGGGACCCTGGAGATGCCAGGTGTGGCCCAGGCAATTTTTTTTTTTTGAAAAGGTGCCCTCCACACACACACACACACGCACAAGTGTTTGCCCTTCGTTCACCCCTGTGCGCACAGCAGCGTGGTCTGCCAGCCAGGCCTGTGCTGGGCTGCAGGGCTCATTGGAGGGTGGCTGAGCCTCTAGGAGGCCACGGAGTCCCCGCCGGGCCTGGGCTGCCCTCATGCCTGTCTGGTCTTCCCTGAGGATACCATCTGCCACCACCCAGTGGCCACCGAAGTCCTGGCACCAGCGGCCTCAGAGTTCTCTCCACTCCCCGCATCGCTCCTGCCACCTTGCCCCTCAGTTTCATAGTTTTTTTTAAAAAAAAACTATAGACACTGGACCAAGGGCTGGGGAAACAGGGTTCTTGGTCCTGCTTCTGGTGCCGTGACCCTGAGCCAGGTGCTTGACCCTCCCTGGCCTCACTGTCCTCTGCTGTAAATGGGTATCAGAACTATCCTCAGTGCCTGGACCGTCCTGCATGCCCCCTTCCCTGTGCATAAACTCCAGTTTCCTCTTTACACTCAGCGGGGCCATCACGCCTCCTGGGGAGACTTCTACCCCCCACCCGTGGAGGGATTCTTGCTTCCGTGAAAGCGCGTCTCACGTTCATTGAACACAGCACCTAACGCATCAGACTCTGTGCGAAACTGTTAAGAAATAGTCACTCAGTTAAACCTCCCAACAATAGAGACATCTGCTCTCATCCTCCTCTGAGAGAGGAGGAGACAAAACACAGGAAGGTTAATTAACTGGCTCAAGGTCAAACAGCTAGTGAATGGATGAGCCGGGATTCAAACCCGGGCAGTTCCAGGGTCCATGTGCTTCAGAACTGGCTAGTTTATCTCTTCTCTTTACTGTGACTTCCTTAGCTCCTAAAAGACAGGCCTTGCAACTTCTCTGCCTTCAGCCTTTTGCAATTGGCAGTTGCCCCCCAAAACACTTGCTGAATGAAAGAGTGAGCAGGCCAGTCCAACAGACCCCGCCCCCCGGAGGTCCTGGAGAGGAGGGACCATAGTCCCTGTTTTGCACATGGGGAGCTGTGTTCGCTCGCTGGGGGCTGCTGTAACCAAGTAGCACAAACTAGGTGGCTTGCAACAGAAATTCATTTGCTCCTGGTTCTGGAGACTGGAAGTCTGAGATCAAAGAGTCAGCACAGTTGTTTCCTTCTGGAAGGCTCTGAAGACCTCCCGCCCAGCTTCCCGCGCTTGGTGTCCCGGGGCTTGTAGAAGCATCCCCTGGCGTCTTCCCCGGGCTCCTGTCTGTCCCAATCTCCCCTTTGCTTAAGAACACCAGTCGCATTGGATTAGCAGCCACCCTACCCCAGTATGACCTCATCTTAGCTACTTTCATCTGAAGGGACCGGACTTGCAAAGAAGGTCACATCCAGAGGCACAGGAGGTTAGGACTTGAACATGAATTTGGCAAGGAGACACAACTCAACCCGCAACAGGAGTTAACCCCTTACGAGGTCCTGTCTGACACAACTTCTGCCCCTCAGCCGGGCCCTACCCCTGCCTTTCCTCCTCTTCTTGACTGCGTTCCTCTGGCCTCCAGGTCTTAGCACACACAGGTCCCTCTGCCAGGCACTCGGCTGGCTGCCCCTCTGCTCCCGGTGCAGAACCCTCCCATGACTCCTCCCCCATCACACTTCCCTCCCGACTAGATAGTCATACATTGACTTGTGTGGCTGCCCAAGAACAAGGGCGCAGGGACTGTGTCTTCCTCCACCGCACCTTCAGTTCAGGGTCAGAGCCTTGTCTACTGTCCGTGCTCAGGAAAATCTTTGTTAACTTCATGAGCTACGCCCAGAGAGGTGAAGTAAATGGCCCAAAGCTGCACAGTAGGTTTGTGACGGAGTGGGCCTCTGTCCCAGGCCTCCTGATTCGGGCCCCATAACTTTTAGGGGATGCATTTCCCCCCCCTCCAGCCTTCCAGTGGTCTCACCAAGAATGTCACCACGGCCTGCCAGTGACAGGGGGCAGTGCAAGGCCGTGGCAGGACTGTGGCCTTGCGCTACTCCAGGGAATGGCCCTCACATTCCAGCCTGGGGGTCTTGCCACCTTCAGAGTGTTTCCTTCTGTGTTTGTAGTCCTGTGGAGCCCAGCTGTCACCTCCCCACGGGGTGGTGGCCTCTGTCTCCCAGAACCGCTTGTAGGTGAGGACAACCTGAAGCCTGGGACCTTGGCTTGCCCTAGCCCAGGCCCTGCAGACTCCCAGGTCCTCCACACTGATGCTGATGCGGACGCTGACGCAGGAAGTCCTGGTCCCGAGCCTGGTGGCCATGGGCTGTTGCCTGGCAACCGTCTCTGAGAGACAAGTTCAAGGTAAGGCCCTGGGTGTGAGCAACTTGAAGATCTGGCGAGGGGGAATCAGGCAGGGAGGGTCATCACCACCCCTTCCTGCCTGCCTAGGCCCCCAATCCCAGGCCTCTCCTCACCCTGCGGCTCCTGCGCTTCCAATAACCCACAGATTCCAGGCCCAAACCCCTATACAGGTTCCTCCCATCCCCCTGGCCGTCCCCCCATTGATTCAGGGTCACTGTGTGGCACACATCCAAAGGAGGCTAGAGTCACGGGGTGAAAACTGCCCCTGGAGTTTGTGAGATGGAAGTCCCCCATTCATTCATTTATTGCAAGTAGTCGTAGTTACCTGACGCTGGGAACACAGTCCCTGCCCGCAGAGACAAGGCTGATGTTGGGACACCCACACGCATAAATGTGAGCGGGCACCGGCAGTGACACATGGCATGGTGGGATCCGTAGGGGGAACCCTGGCTGGGAAACCACTCCCATGGGACACTTAGCCCCCAGCAGTCCCTCTGCTCCCACCTCATGCACACCCACCTCGGGCACAGTAGACCCTTGGTGTTAACACCCCCGTGCGCGTTCACTCCTGGATGTGGCTGAGATGCCCAAACCCCTACCGTGCACCCCGTGCTCACAAACGTACACACAGTCTGTGGTTGCTGCCTGGAGCGCACCCCTGCCTTTGGGTCAGGCCAGACTGTCCCTCACAGCGTTCCACTTTCTCGGGCCGGGGGGGGGGGGGGGGGGGGGGGATAGGCACGTGACCCACACCTGACCAATCATCGCACTCCATCACCTTGTCCTTGGTGATTGGCCCAAGGAGCTGTCACGTGACTCAGCCAAGCCAATCAGCTTTCTGCCATGAGATTTGCTGTTGGGGCACAGGAAAAGACTCTCTCTGCTGCTTTGGGATCAAGATCTGTAAGGATGTAAGCTGAGGCTTGTGGGGCATCTTCCATGCATGCTGGAGACCTAGACTTGGGGAGGCCATACACAGAGACCTGGGCACACAGGGCTGAGAGTTGAATAGAAGGAGAGACGTCATACACACACCCATCCATGCCCACCAAGCTACACGCACAGCACGTGGCAGAGGAACTGGCCCAGGTCACAGCTGGCGTCATGTGTCACCATCTTTATTGACATGAGCTAGGGGCAGGAGAAGCAAAGGGTTTTCCTCAGGGGTTTTCCAGCCACCCCTGCTGAATAGGCTCACCTGTCCCAGGAATCAGGAAGGCAGGGTCAGCCGGGAAATGCTGAAATGCCGGGGGCCCTTCTTCACTCAGACCCCCAGATCCTCCTCAGGGGAACCCCAGACTGAGGACTGGGTCTCCAGTTCCAACATCCATACAAGGTCTGGTTTTGTGAACCTCCAAGCGGGTGCACCCCCCCCAAACCCCACCTCTCCATCTTTGGCCTCTGCCTCCCCTCAGCCCCCGAACCTGGGTCCCACATGATCCTTACACCCAAGGGCCAGAGACAGAGAGGCCACCTGATGAAGGAGCAGGTGTAGGCCAAGCCTGGCATGGGAGCTGCCTCCATTTTTATAATCTGATACCCCCACGCCTACCCATTGTATTGTGCGGGCTGGTTTGCCCAGCGTGACTCATCCCCCCCCCCCCCCCCCGCCGCCAAATCCGAGCAGGTAGGCATACTGGGACAGCCTCCGTCTTATGATGGGGAAACTGAGCCCCAGAGAGGTCAAGGCTAGCCAGGATCCTGAGGTGGGTTGAAGATCTAGGTCTTCCAACTTGCGGTTCGCGTGCTTTCCTTGAGGACCCCCCCCTGCCTTCTGCCGGGGTGGGGGATGGAGGGAGTTAGCTTGAGGTGCCACTCACCCCAGAGCCAAACTCACCATGGCTCTGAGGGCTTATCTCTGGGAGAGAGTCCTTGCATGGCGGCCCCTCCTGTCCTCGCCAGCCCCCCTTGCCTTGTCTTCCCTGGGCCGCCCCACACTGTGGCCTCGGAGAATATAGAGATTGGGGAGGCCTGATCCCCAACCCGCGGGGCCCTGAGTCTCAACTCTGTCCCTAGGCCACCGTCAAGGCGCAGCCCCTCCTACCAGCGCAGACAGGCCCTCAAGGGAGCCCGCGCTGTACCTTCCAGAGCGTTCGCCATCCCATCCTGACTGCATCCTTCCCTTGAGATTGATCAGACCAGGCATCCACGACGGGCTTTCAGCAGCGCTACCACCGAGCTCAGCCCAGAGGGACCGAGGATGGCTGCGCGGTCGTGGAGCGGATCTGTCCTCCACCCTCTTTCTCCCCCTTCCTCTCTTCCTTTCCCCTCCCTCTTCATCCTCCCCCTCCTCCTCTTCCTCCTTCCCCTCACCATGCTAGGTAGACACTGCCTTTCCCCACCAGTCCGCCTGGCTTGGGCCCTGCCTGGGCCTCTGGGAGGGGAGGAAGGCCGATGGTGCTGTATGAGGGCGAGCCCATAGCCGAAGGGCCAGTAGGACCGGGCGCTCTGGGCAGCCAGGAAGGGCAGCCCCAGCACGAAGAGCTCGGCGGCCAGGGCCGGGTTGAGGATGTAGACACTGGTGACTGAGCCCTCAGACACCGCGAGACAAGCCTCTCCGCAGCCACAGGACACAACGTGAGCTGCTTCGGGGATTGGTCAGCTGCCCTCAAAAGCGCTGAGTGGGGCTTTGAGTGGCCTAAATGTATGCAGTTTGGAGACCCTCTTTATGAAAATGAATATAAAATTCCAAGTACAAAATGAGATACAGGGCCTTAGGTGGGCCCAAGCGGGACGGGACCCTGAAGCTGGCCTGGGAGACGTTCCTGGAAAATCCACGGCCTCTCAGGGCCAGGAACACAGGAGTCCCAGCACTGACCATCTGGGCCAAGAGGGCCTGGAGGTTATTGGGTTGTTCAGCAGGTGATGCCTGAGGCCCAGAGAGGGGGAAGAGACGGCTGAGGCCTTGCAGCAAGTGGGGGAGAGCTGAGGTGGGGCCTGAGCGGTTCCTACCCCTCCCTGCACTGGGTAAGACTTTCTTCTACTTCTACACCAGTCCCTCCCCTGCGAACCTGACTCTGAGCCCGGGAAATCCAGACCTTGGTCAGTCGCTACGAGGGCCAAGATTCAGGCTGGTCCACCAGGATGCTCTTTCTTTGAGGGGGAAGGCCAGTCCGCACCTGCCCCCTGAACTGGGCCCCACTCAGGAAGGCCAGCCAGGGGCGATGCCCCTCCGGACTTCTCATCCAGCAGAGCTTGTCCTGGCTGATTACTCCCATCCCTGAGTCACAGAAGAGAACACAAGGCCCAGAGAAGGAAAGAGACCTAGGCAAGGTCACCCCGCGAGTCTCAGCAGCTCTGGGATCAGAGCCCAGGCCTCCAAGCAGGGGGCCTCTGGCACCATGGACGGCCATGCCCTAGGCACGCGCACAGCCTCTGTCCTGTCCGTGGGCCCCGCGGGCCCTCCGCAGGCCCCTACAGATAGCTGACGTGCAGTGTGCCCGGCTTGTCCCCAGCCGAGGCCTCTTGCGGGAGGAACTGCTTGTCCTTGCTGGCCTTGCCGCTGGGCGGCCGCTCCTGCCTGCTGGTGCCAGGCTGCGTGATGAGGCTGACCCGGCCATTCCTCTCCTGCCCCTCCCCCTGCTTCCCTGCCCCCTCCTCCCGCTGCTCCTCCTCCTCCTCCTCCTCCTCCTCCTCCTCCACTGTCCTCCCCGGGGGTCCGGCAGAAGGCTCCTGGCTGCGCACGCGGCGGGAGGGTCGCAGCAGGACCCTGCGGAACCCCTGCTGGAAGCGGTAGGAGAGGAAGCCATAGAGGACGGGGTTGGCACAGCTGTTGGCATAGGGCAGCGCCACCACCAGGAAGTAGAGGCCGAAGAAGGCGGGCTCCTCGGGCAGCGGACACACCACGTTGACGATGTTGAGCACGTAGAAGGGCATCCAGCAGAGGACGAAGAGCGCCACCACGGCCACCACCATGCGCGTGACCCTGCGCTCTGAGTGCCGCCGCCGCTGGCACGAGGGCGCCCGCACCCGCCGCCCGGCCGAGCGCACCTTGACCACGATGAGCAGGTAGCAGAGGCAGATGATCAGCAGCGGCCCGAAGAAGCCCAGTGCGGCCGTGTAGATGATGAAGCCGGCGCGCCAGGCGGCCGCCGGCTCAGGCCACTGCATGTGGCAGGTGCTCATGCCGTGGGGCACCCCTGAGAAGACCACCACGGGCAGCACCACCACCGCCGAGGCCACCCAGACGGCCACGCTCACCATGCGGGCCACGGGCGCCGTTCGCCAGCGGGCAGAGCGGGTGGGATGCACCACGGCCAGGTAGCGATCCACACTCATGACGGTGAGGCAGAAGATGCTGGTGAACTGGTTGATGCCGTCCACGGCCATGACCAGGCGGCACATGAGAGAGCCAAACGGCCAGTAGGACAGGGCGTTCTGGGCAGCCAGGAAGGGCAGCCCCAGCATGAAGAGCTCATCCGCCAGGGCCAGGTTGAGGATGTAGACATTGGTGACTGACAGGCTGGCCGTATGCCTCAGGACCACGTAGATGACCAGGGAGTTGCCCAGCAGGCCCACCACGCACACCACCAGGTAGACCAGTGGGATCAGAACACCGCTGACGGCCAGCCCTGCCACACTGGGGGCTGCCGACACATTTCCCAGGGTGGCATCCAGGAGCCAGGCCGAGGAAGTGTTTCCAGGTTCCAAGGTTGTGGGCGCCGATGCAGGATAGCCAGGGGCATCCATGGCCGTGGGGAGGGTGGTCAGCAGTCAGCTATTGGCCTGGAGGAGGAAGGACACAGCCACGTCATGGTGGATGCCGGCTTTCTCTGTGATGCCCTTCCCCCATCACACTGAACTTGGAGACTTGCAGTGCGCCCAGCCAGAGTTTGACCCCAAGTGGATCACCCACTGTGATAGACTGAATGTGTCCCCCCTGCTCCCAAATTTGTATGTTAAAATGCTAACCCCCCAGAGATGACATTAGGAGGCGGGGGGCTTCAGAAGGTGCTTAGGTCTTCAGGGTGGAGGCCCCCTGAATAGGATCAGTGCCTTATAAAAGGCCCCAGAGAGCTCTCTCACTCCCACCATATGAGGACACAGTAAGAGGACTACGAACAAGGAAGCAGGTATCACCAGACACTGAATCTGCCGGCACCTTGATCTTGGACTTCCAGCCTCCAGAACTGTGAGAAATAAATGTTGTTTATAAGCCCCCACCCCAGGCTGTGGTATTCTGTTATAGCAGCCCCAAATGGACTAAGACAGCCACCAGCAGGTCCCAGCCCCAGTGGTGCATATCACAGGTCTTTAACCTTGAAACTGGGTCTCTAGAGGAATTGCAAAGGATCCATGAACCCCCAGAACTCTGGTGCAAGTGAATGCGTCCATGTCTTTCCTGGGCAAAGCCCAGAGCTTTGATTAGGTTCCTCAGATTCTGCATGGAGTTAAGAACCACAGGCATAACGACGTCCCCTCTCCTGGGAATCTGAATGCTTGGAGACCTCCCAAGCCTAGCCCATCCCACGGTGCCCCAAAGGCCCTGCCTGGGGTCGCTAGCTGTGAACCTGGGGGCTGGGCACATGGGGCCCCTTCTCTCCCTGTGATGAGAAATTCACAGCACACTGGGAGTAAGTACAAGGAGAGCCACCCCCTCCACACCGGTGGGGCAGGCTTCCCAGAGAAGAGGGCATTTCATATGGGTCTCGAAGCATGAATAAGAGTTTGCCAAATGACAGAGTGGGAACCAGCATGCCCGTTCACTTCCTTAGTCCCTTTCTTATCATGCCTCCCGTGTATCATAAGGAGCTAGGACTCTTCCCGTTCCCCAGCTAGACTGGCTCCCCTTAGATGTGGAGACACCCTCTCAGCTTTGAACCGTCTCCTCATCCGTTCACACTGTATAGGCTCTGCATCAGTGTTTGAAGCATTGAATGATTCAGAGGAACCCGGAATGGACAATTCTCAATGCAAAGGGGGCATGAATTGCTGATAGCAGAAATTCAAGCCCCACTCGCTAGGAAAGGCCACCCACCTCAGAACTTGCGAGCCTCCCTCAGTGGGACTTCCTGGCTCTCAGGAGGCCCAGTTAGAGGCCAAGCCTCCTCTGGGGCCTGGACCTCTCCCCACCCCTTTCTCCTGCTGGCCTCCACCAGTCTCTGGGCTCTTGTTCATTCTCTGCCTCTCCCTACAGAAAACCGTGTGAAATCCTCCAATATCCCCACTCTGAGCCAACACTGAGCCTGGATCTCCTCCAGTGGGACCTGCCACCTGCCTGCCCTATCCAGACACTACTTTTAGGATGCAAAGCTTCTGGAAAGGAGAGGCACCCCAACTTGGAGCAAACACCCCTGGGTGGGTGAGCCTGCCTGGTTGTCCCCGCCCGGGGACCTTGGGCTCCAAATAAGCTCTGAGCACCAGCCTTGGCAATGCAGAGAATGGCAAAGAACCCCTTGGCCGTGGCTCCTCCTGATGACACCCCAGGCTGGTTGGGCTCAGAGCACCCCCTCCCTGCTCCTCCAACCCCAGGGGAGAACCCCCCAACCTGTCATCACCCCAGGACCTCATCAGCCTTCCTGAGCCTGGGACAGTGGCACTAAAGGAGGGGCTACCGGACAGGGAGGACCTTAACAGTGCTGCCAGTTCCGCAAATGTGAGGCCATACAACCCTGATCACACAGCTAGGAAGGGGCAGACCTGGGAGGACCCTGAAGGTCATGCTCCAACACACACACACACACACGCACCTCCATTTCACAGGCTGGCAGGCTGAGGCTGAGCCTTGGGGGGGCCCCCAGCTGGCATCCCACTCTCCCACCAGGCTATGCAGAGTCCCCCTCACCGCTCTTTGGGTTCTTGAACTATTAGGATCAGGGGCTCAAACCCCTGAAATCATAGGGTCCTAAAAATAGAATTTTTGATTCTTAGAACTGAGGTATGGAGTTCTAGATCTTTAGACTCTGTGTCCTTGAATCAGAATATCGGAATTCCTGAATGCCAGAATCAGCCCTCTTCCGCCTGGAATTGTGGAATCTGAGACCTCGGAGTTCTTTCTGGCTTCCTCAGCGTGGGAGCCCTATGTCACCCATCCGTCTACCTTGCCGCCCTGTGTGCGCATCCTCTTTCCGGTGTCCCTGTGGGGCAGCCAATCACAGCCCAGGGCTGGAGGAGGCAGGAAAGTGCCAGGCTCCTGAGAGAGGAGCAGGGAGCTGGGCAAACCTAATTTCCAGGCTGCAGGGACAGATGCCCCCAGGGAAGCCTGGAGGCAGCTCTGGGGACCGCCCCCCTCCTGCTCAGGCACACGTGTGTACCCTGCACACATGCACACGTGTTAACACGCGCGGCCCTGGGAACACAGCATACCCAGCCAGGCCCTGCCTTTGTACTGGGGGGGTTGCCACAGCCCTTCCCAAAGCCCCAGCCTCCCTGGAAGACTCTGCTTCTGCCCTCATCTGGGCCCATCTTCCCTGTCAAAGTTGACCAGGCCAGGCGCCAGAAGCCGGAAAATTACAGCTTTCCGTAGGCATAAGCCAACGTGCAATTTAGGTGCCGCCTTTTCTTTAAGGAGCCGGAATCCTGTGCATGATCTAGTTCATCCTCGGGGAGGAGGGACTTTTCCTCCCTGTCTGGTTTATCTTTGGCACAAGCTTGCCTGAAAACGGGGGGCGGACTCCTCAGAGGACTGTTTGAGAGGGGACAGAGGCCCAGAGAGGATGAGGGGCTGCCCTGAGCCACACAGCAATTCAGGGCAGCCACTCAGAGATGCCAGACACCCCCAACCACTTTCCATTTGTCTGCCCCCATCCGCTTACCCTCTTGAGTGCTGCCTCTGGGTTGCGGGAACCCTGAGCTACTTACTTCTTTAGCCCCAGCACCTGGCACAGCGCCTGGCACTGGGAAATGAGGACAGACCAAGCAGTTCAGCAAGTATAGCTCCGAGCGAGGTGGCCACTGCTCCTGGGCACAAGACTCGGACCCACATCATGAAATCCTCACAAAGCCCAGGAGGGAGGATTTTTACAGAAGAGGAAGCTGAGGCTCAGCGAAGTTCAGTAACTTGCACAAGGTCCCCTAGCTGGTGAGTGGGAGACCAGAATTCAAACCCAGTCTGTCTACTCCTAAACCATCAGTACCTCCTGGCCCTGCTGGCTTCCCCTGAAGACCCCCGGCTGAGAGGAATCCAGGTCTGGGACCTGGGACGGCCCAGAAGCCTGCAGGTTGATGCCCCCCGGCCAACCGCATTCTGCTTGCCCTCTGCAACCCTGGGCCTCCCCCCCAAAGATCTGGATTGTGTTAATCAGTGCCGATGGACTCACTCCCATTCCAGGCCTGGGGTCTGACCCCCCAGGAACACATCCCACAAGCCCTGGGCTGGGGGCTTGGGCTCTACCACAGAATGATGATACCCAATTACTGTGTGACCTTGGGCAAATCACATCCTGTCTCTGGACCTCAGTTTCCTCCTATTCCAATGAAGACAGGTAAACCCACGTCCCAGGGTTGCCGTAAGATTAAACGGGAGTGTGCCGAACACAGTGCCCAGCACGGAGGGGGAGCTCAGGGAAGCTGGCCCCAGGGGCCGAGGAGGCCCACCGACATGATGCATCTGGTTTTTTCCCGAGGTCTGACACTCTGCTGCTCTGTGGTTCCAGTTCCCAGAACCATGGCACTAGAATCTGAGATGAACTTGCCCCCCACCCCCCACAGCCCACCAAGAGGTCACAGGGAGGCCTCCTTCCTCCCTGGGCCTTCCCACTGTCTCCTGGGCAGAGGGTGGGTTCCAGCACCCCACCCTCTGGGACCCCACCCAGGCCCCAGCCTCCTTACCTGCCCATGGGGTGAGGGCTCCCCTGCTTGCCGCCAGGCTGGTTACCATTCTGCTGCCCCCTCTCCCTGCCCAGGCCCCAAGTGCCCAGAGCACCCTTAGCTGGGGTCCCCACACACTGCCCATTTGTAGACAGCTTACGGCCTGAGTCCCTTCCTAGGCCTGCGGCGGCCACGGCTGCCCACAGAGCCTCTCCCATCTGGTCTCCGGCCCTGACTTCCCACGGGTGCCTGGTGCGTCACCCCCCCATCTCCAGGACACATCCTGGGGGGGCGGTTAGAGGCACAGAGGGGGGGTCTGTGGGCAAGAGCTCAGAGTGCGCGTGGACAGAGAACCTCCCAAGGAAAAGAAAAGGGGAGCAGGGACTGTCGGAAGCCAATAGAAATAGAGGGGAAAGGGGAGATCGGTCGGAGGTGGAGAGAGAGAGAGAGAGAGAGAGAGAGAGAGAGAGAGAAGACAATGAGTGGGTGGAAAGCCAGAATGAGGGGGAGTGATAAGAAATGCGTGGCAGGGAGAAGAGAAGCAGGAGCAGAGAGGAGAGCAGGGGCGAGAGGGAGATGTGGAGAGAGGCAGGGATGGAGAGCAGGGAAGGAGGAAGGAGAAGGAGGGGGTGGCAGGCAGAGTGACAGAGAGGGATTGTGCTACAGATGGTGACATGGAGAGCCAGGGAAGGAGGGAGCAGGAGTGTGGGGGGGTGCAGGAGGGGCCGGAGAGCAGGTGCAGGGAGGGGGGAGGGGTGGCAGGTTAGGGAAGGAGGCAGGGGGCGGGGGGGCAGGCAGACCCTGTTACCGCGGAGATTTGCGCGGAGATTTGGCCACCCACGCTGGCCTTGGCTCGTGCAAGGCGGGGGGCAGCGCAGTGTTCAGGGGAGCCGGACGCCCCCCGGGCCCCCGTGGCACATGTCCCCCAGGGCGACAGCTGGGTCCCGAGGCCAGGCAGGTGAGGCATTGGGCAGTGCTAGGAGGGCTGGGAGCATGGACGAGCACTGGGCTGGGAGTCCACGGTCCTGGCCACCAGCTGGACACCAAGCAGAGGAAGGCCAGCTGGGGGCAGCAGTCCTGACTGAGCCCGGAGAGCCCAGGACAGGGGGGGGGGGGGGGGGAGGACGGGGTAAAGAATACATAATTCAGGTTTTGGGGGTCAAGGGCAGAATCAAAGATATTATACGGGAGAAAACAAACGTCCACTGTTTATAAATGGACACAATTCAAAATATAATAATAACTGAGGACAACGTTTTATAACCCAGTCTGCTACTACTGAGAAGAGTGGAATTCTCTGGGCAGGGGTGGGGGGTGGGGGGGCATTGTGCTTAATTGGAGTTCAAGTTAGTATTTCCTATCCTCAAATCCGTTGCAAATGCTCATCTGTAAAATCCATTCTGAGTTGGCAGCCTGGACAAAAGCAGGTGGCGGGCTGGCTTTGCCAGCCTATGGTCTAAGGTGCTCTGCCGGGGGCCTGAGACTCCCCTGGCTGCCCCTGGATGTGTACCCCAGTTCCTGATGACCGACCTTGTGACTACAGGTGAGTCGACCCTCGTCTGGGCCTGATTCCTCATCTGGATAGTCAGGAGGTTGGACTGGATCATTCCTAAGCTCCTCTTTCTATGTGACCATTATAATTGCCTGGGGCTCAATTAGCAATGGCCCCTTGGTATTAAGCCCCGCCCCCTGCTTCACAGAGAGGGAAAGCAGTTTACTCGGATCACACAGCCAGCGAGTGCAGAAGGGGCGGCGCCGCCCCACGTTAACAGTGTGCCGCAAAGCACCTTCCCTGCAGAGCGGCCTTGCCCCTGCTCAGAGGGCGAGGCGGGACCAGTCAGAGAAGGGAGGAAGGAAGGCAGTGTTGTCTTGGTTGAGCACCTGCAGCGTGCCAGGCACCATCCAGGCCCCTTCCCATCGTGGGCCGTTTCTCAGGGCCGGGGCTGGGCCTGCTTTGTCACTAGGCACCCAGGGCTGGGGTGGAGTAGGTCCTCAGAGAGCCCGGCATCAGATTCTTCCAGAAGAGCCATTCTCGCTACCACAGAACACAGTAGGACTAGGAACACACCCGCTTCCAGAGGCTTCTGGACGCCCCGTTGCTTGACGCCGTCCTTCCACTTGCCAGGGGTTCCCAGTGTTCTGTCCGTCCGCCCGTCGGTGCAAGTTCCTGAAGAGTAGGCGGGGTCCAGGCAGCTCCTGGGAGTGAGGAAGGGGTTTCCATGGCCCTGTCCCCCTGTTCCCCCCTGCCTGAGGGCCCCTCAGAATTAGGCCCACCCCGAGCAGCCCTCCAGGCTTTACATCCCGCTCGCCTTGCCTTATCCTGCTCGGCTCATTGCCTTCTTCCCCGAGCTCCAGGCATACCCAGCCTCACCCATTCATTCATTCACTGCCTCTAGAGGGGCGGCTCAGGCCTCTAGACAGTGAGAGGCACAAGCAGTATCTAAGGAGGAGGGCCCAGGCGGAGAGCAGGGTGGCTGGAGGGGAGGGAGGCAGGGGAGGCCTCAGGAGGCCACACCACGAGGGCCCTATCTCAGGCTGGGTGGGTCGGGAGCTTCACAGGCGGGAGCAGAGGAGTTTCTTGACCTAATTTCTGTTCTTCAACGGCTCACCAGTCAGGCACTGGGGACAGTGTTGGTTCTTGGCAGGGCCTTTGCACAGGCTGTGCCCCAGCCCTGGTCACTCCCCTCACGCACCCCGCTCCACCCCTACGTGTGAGCTGAAGTCCTCCTTCAGGTGGTCTCCTCCTGGAGGCTTCCCTGTCCCAGATGAGCTAGGCCTCCCCAGAGCCCCCAGCCTCACCATGTCCCCAGGCCTGGCACCAGCCTAGCACAAGTGTTGTGTCTATGGGAGAGAAGATGGGTGGAGGGCGAGCAGCAGGGTGACAGAGGAGGGGAGACTAATCTGCTGAATGTCTGCTGGAGGCCGAGGGGTGGTAAGGGGTCCCCGGCACCAGGCTGGGAGCAGGTGTTGCCTGAGTCAAACACCCACTGCCACCCAGGGGCCTTCCCCGAGCAGAAGTAACCCAGGGATCCCTGATCAGCCTCTCCTTCTGGGGGTGGCAGGGCAGAAAGAGGAAGTACAACTCCATCCCTGTGAGCCCTGGGAGGCTGGGGCTGCTGGGTGTCGGAGCTGGGAGGTGGCCCCACCTTGTTTGGCATGGAGGTCCTGGAGCATGAGAACCTCTGACCTCAGGCCTGGCACTCGGCACTGTCACGTGTGCCTGGTACCCTGGAGGGGCTGCCTGGACTGCCTCTCAAAACCACGACAGTGCTATCTATGTCTGCCCCATCAGTCCCTGACCTCGCCCAAACTAGGGCCATGTCTCCACCCTCAGACTAGAGGGCTTCCTGCAACCAGGGACTGTGTCTCTGCCATCAGGCAGGCAGTTTTCCAGAAGCTGGGGCCCAGGCTCCTCCCACTCCTGAGAGCCCAGACAATGCTGTCTCCGCCCCCCCCCCCCCCCCCCCGGTCCCTAGGAAGGAGCCAACCACAGTGTAGGCTGGGGGCCTGAGCCACTGATGCTGAGGTCTCTCCTTCAAATAAGACAAGGCGAGCCAAAATACCTTCCCGGCCCAGCCCCTGGGCCTCTGCCACAGGAGTCCCCATTAAAGGTGTCCTCGGGTTCATCAGCCCCTGCTGTTCCCTGCTAGGGTCGAATCTCAGCTTCTCCACTCACTGGCTGTGTGACCTCGGATATGTGACTTAGCCTCTCTGAGCCTCCGACCCTCAGCTTCAACACCTGCTGCACAGGGCTGGTGAGACTAGAATTAGTTAATCCCAGGGACACTGAGAAGCTACACACAGCATGAGCCCCCAGCCCTACCCCTGGCCTCCTTTGTGGCGGGGGAGGGGCCAGCAGCCCGCACAGCTGAGTCTCAGCCCCTCCCGGGCCCAGTCAAGCAGCGTGACTTTGTGAAACCCCTCTGCTAACTTCCTCCTTCGGTCGAATGTGTCCACCTTCCTGTCTGGCCCCAGGTTCTTATGATGGTCAAACGGAGGAAATGGCTGTGAGCTTGCGGCCCCCAGCACCACGCTTCATTGCTTGTACCTCAGACTCTCTGCTTTCTGACCTGCTCACTGCTCTCCATCCCCTGAGCCTCCCTTCTGGGCCAAGCCACCATCGCCTCATCTGTCCTGGTCCTTCTGCCCTCGCCCCGCCCCCTCAGCGGGGAGAGTGAGTCCTTTAAAAAACAAGTCATGCCACTTGCTTCCTCATTGAGACCCTCTAGGGCCACCTGTTGCTGTAGAATGACATCCACTATCCTTACCGTGGCCTGAGGAGTCCGTGTAACCTGCCTCTGCCTGCTTCCTTCCCACTCGCCCCTTCCTCTCTTTCTACAGCACCGTCGCCTTCAGTCTGAACCCCACATGCCCCAGGCCCTTTGCACAGGCTTTTCCTTGTCGCTCTCTTAATCCCTCGGCAGGTGTAGGCACCAGCTGCTCTGAAGCCTTCCCATTCTCTGACGCTCCCTCTTCTGACTTCTTTTTTAATCTGTAAAGCAATTATTTTTTATTTGGTTTTGTTTTTAGCAAAGTACTGTTTGCAACTAAATTTTAAAAACCAAAGTGGTAAAAAAAACTTACAAGAGCAGAAAACAGCAGTCCTCCCATGGCCCTGACCCACCCCTGATCCCAGAAGCAATTCCACCCGCTTAGCTCTTTTCTCCTTGTATTTTCTCCATCTTGCCAAATACCAGATTTATTTTTCTGTCTCTTGATCCCCCAATTTTGTCCATTATCTACTGACTTCCTGTTATGGAAGACGAGGATTGTAGATTTCTTACACACTCTGGTCCTTCCTCTCCACCCTCTCCATGAGACAACATTTTCAGTTAAGTGTATGTTCAGTGTTTTCATTAGGAACACACTGCAAAATATTCTCTCTTGCCCAGCCCGGAGTTCATAATTGTTTCACTTTTTTTATTTACTTAGTTTTTTTTTTTTTTTTTAATATCTCAGTTTTCTAGGACTCCATATTTGCACACACTCCTACTGCTATGTCAAAACCTCGCAGGGGAGTTTCCAGGGTCTGAGCTCTGTGAGGATTTCTGCTTGGAGGCATCTAAACTCCTCCCTGCTGTCCCGGCTTATCCTCTATGCCTGTGTGTGGCTACTGCCCTGAGAGTGTCTCTTCACCATTCTATCAGCGGTTCCCTTCAGCTTTTTCCTGTATTAGATCCCATGTCTTGAATCTTCCTCCTTAATGGTTTGCCCCCTGATCTTGTGGGCTCACATCCTCCAATAATTTCCTGAGCAAAGTGCACATGTTTGAAAATTGTTCATTCTCCTCGCATGTCAACTGATAGCCGGGCTGGGTATAGAATTCTAGGTTGAGAATCACTTTGATTCAGATGGCGGAAGGCATCTGTCCATCTGTCTAGCTCCCAATATTATTCTTTTTTTAATTTTAATTTTAATTTTTTAAAAACTTTATTTAAAATTTTAATTTTTAAAATGTTTATTTAAATTTTACTTAGTTAACATGCAGTGCAATATTGGTTTCTGGAGTAGAATTCAGTGATTTATCACTTACATACAATACCCAGTGCTTATCACAACAAGTGTCCTCTTTAATACCCTTCACCATCTATTCCCCCCCCCCCCCCGCCTCCCTCCATCAACCCTCAGTTTGTTCTCTATTGTAAGAGTCTCTAATGGTTTATTTTCCTCTCTCCCTTCCCTCCCACCCCTTCCCATATGTTCATCTGTTTCTTTCTGAAATTCCACATATGAGTGAGATCATATGGTATTTGTCTTTCTCTGACCAACTTATTTCACTTAGCATACACTCTAGCTCCATTCACATCATTACAAATGGCAAGATTTCATTCTTTTTTGATGGCAGAGTAATATTCCATTTTATATATATTACCTCTTCTTTATCCATTCGTCAGTCACTGGAGATTTGGACTCTCTCCATAGTTTGGCTTCCCAGTACTATTCTTATTCTCGATCCATTGTGTGTAACCTTAGGTGTTTTCCCTTTATTCTGGAAGCTTCTAGGATCTTTGCTTTATCCCTAAATTTCTGCAATTTTGTAATGCTTGCGTTGTGCCCTCTCTACCAACCCCCCTCCCCATCTGGTCCCAGCACCAAGTGTTTGGGGGCACTTGGTGAACTGTTTCAATCTGAAGATTTGTGTTCTTCAGTTCTGGACAAGATTTTTTTCTTTCTTTTGTTAGAGATTTTATTTATTTATTTATGGTGGGGGGAGAAGCAGAGGGAGATGGACAAGCAGACTCCTAGCTAAGCACAGAGCCCAACGTGGGGCTCAATCCCACGAACCCAAGATCATGACCCAAGCCAAAATCAAGAGTCAGACGCTCAGCCGACTGAGCCACGTAGGCGCCCCTGGACAAGATATTTCAATTATTTTCTTTTGGAACTCCTATTATTTGACTATCAGCCCCCTGGATTAACCCTGTAATTTTCTTGTTGTTTACTTTTACCATCTTATTCTCCCTTCTAGGAGTTGTTTTTGTTGTTGTTGCTCACTCTGTTTTATCTTCCAAACCTTCTATACAAAAAAAAAAAAAATTAATAAACACATTTCTAATTTCTAAGAGCTCTTCTCTGTTTTCTGATTGTTCCCTTGTTATGGTCTTCTGTATTTATTTGTGGGTGTAATATGTTTCCTTCTCTCTCCAAGGATAGCAGTGATGGTTTCTTTTAAGTTTTCTTCGGCTCACTGCCTTGTCTTTATTTCTTGCTAGTTCCTTTTTCTCTGTTTATTTGATTGGGTCCCTTTCATGATAGAGCTTTCCTCAATTGTCCATTCATCTTTTGTTACCTATTCATTTTTCAGAATGAAAGATTAAAACTCGGTTTGGCAGCAGTGTGTCAAAAGGCAGAGTTTGCAAGATAGCAAACATCTCTGGAGGGACAGCTGGATCTTTTGTCAAGGATGCCTAGATGTTACCAAATGTCAGCATCAGTAAGACTTTTCTCTGGGGTGGTCAGATCCTGGCCACAGATTCCTGTCTGGGATAAGTGTCTGCCTGGGTGCTAGCATTCCTGAACTCAGCCAAGGTCTGAGGGTCACCCTGCTGAGTATACAGACTTCCATTGAATCCCCCTGCATCAGTCAGCTATTGCTGTGTAACAAACAACCACACAAACAATAAGCATTTCTTGTACTTCACACCTTCAGTTCAGCTGGAATGGGTTGATCTAGGCTGAGCTAAGCTAGGCAGATCTGCTTTGAGCTGCAGGTCAGCTGGACACCTCTGCCCTTATGTTCTTGGAACCGGTGGGCTTACCAGGGGATGTTCTTTCATCAGCATAAGAGAGCATGCCCAAGGGTGAAAGCACATCAGGCTCTCCTTATGATGCATATGCTAACATCCCACTGGCAAACAGCAAGTCACAAGGTCAAAGCTAGCATCAGTGGAATGGGGAAGTAGGTCCACCCCTGGAGGTGGGTGTCGAAGGAGTGATAATCTGCCAAGCATGATCAAACCCACTATATTCCAAATAATCAGTCTGGGTCCTCACCCCCACCTGCCCTGTAGCTGGTGTCCTTGGGCCCAGAAATCTCTGGTTGGATTTTCCTGCCCAGGCTAGGGAGGGATGGTTGCCTGGCTGCATAGTGCACAGGGGAGGCCCTGGAGGTCTGATCACTCCTTAAACAAACTTACAAATAACCCACTGGGTTTCAGCCTCCTGCCTTGCCATCTGTGGTGTCTGGATCCCCTACTTCGGAGCCAAACCCCCTCCTAGGGGTTCTGCAAGGTCAGTCGGTTTGCATCTCTCCCACCTCCAAACCCCCCACCCCGCCCCACCACAGAACAGCAGACACTGAGGTTTGCCTTCCCTGGGCTCTGTTAAATCATTTACCACCCCTCCATCTGCTCTCCAGACTCGTATGCTGTGGTTTGGGGTCACAGGTGTCTCCTGGTTTCTTTGAAGATGAGAGTTTGTGTTTCTGTTTTGTGTTCTCCTTATTGTCATGGCTGCTTTTCAGCAAGGGAGAGGGGGCAGAAACATCTCTACCCTGGCACCTTGAGACCAGAATCTCTTCCTTGCTCTATTGCATACACTCCTGTGGTATGTGGATCAACTGCATGGCAGGTATTGATTTGCTCATCTGTCTGTCTCATTAGCCCCTGAGCCCCCGGGGAGCAGAGGGCTGGATCTCACCATCTCTGCACCTCCAGCTCCCACACAGCTTGGCATGGAGCCTGGGGTTAGTACATGGGAACTGAACTGAACTGAACTTCAAATTACAGGGATGACTGCTCATCATTTCACCTACCGTAGGGCCTTCAGAAGTCTTCAAGAACCATCCTAGATTCCTGTCTCCCTCCCAGAGCCTACCCTGCTTGCCTCTTACATCTCATGAGATCCGGATGGAGTGAGATGTCCCCAGAGGTGACTACTTCTCTGCTGGTGGGGGAGTTAAGAGGGTAGGGAAGAGAGGGAAAAGATCAAAGGAAGGGATAACAGGGACCTCAACCCCACAAAAGTCACTGTTTCCGTATACTATGGTATTATTTCTCATGATTTGACGAGTTGGCTGAGCTCAGTTGGATGCCCTTTTCTGCCACACATGATTTTGGCGGGGGCCACTGTCATCCGGGGACTTGACTGGGCTGGCACATGCAAGAATTCCGATGCGCATGACAGGTGCCTTAGCAAGGATGACTGGAAGGCTGGGCTCAGCTGGGTCACTGGAAAGGCTGGGACTCTCTCTCCATTGAAGTCTATTCTTCCATCTGCTTATTCCTTTACATAAACAACACACATTTATCCAGCATCTGCAAGGTGCCAGATACTTGCTAGGGTCATGGTGAGCCATCCAAGCAGAGGGGCCATTTCTCAGGGCTCTCCGCTGGGTCCCCCCAGAGCTGCAAGCTCCTTGGAGTGGGCCCACACTCGACTCACCCTCAAACCCTGTGTTTGGTGCACAGTCCCAATAACAATTTGCTAAATGAGTAAGTGACTGAATGAATCCGTGGCCGTACAAGCATGTGTTAAGGCAAGAGGTGTACATCATGACATCTGAGTGGCACAGTTGTTTGTAAATAAGGAGGAGACCCCGAGCTGCCCCGTGGAGACAGCGGATGCAGGGAGGCCAGCGAGGTGGTCACGACTACCGTCCAGGGAAGAAATGCAAGGCCTGGAGCAGGGAGTGGCAGTGGGTCCAGATAAAGAGGTGGGTTTAACACACAATGAGAGGCCAGATTTTCTAGGTTTGGTGACCAGTGGATGCAGGGCGGGGGGAGTGGGAGGCGCCAGGGGGCCCCCCAGGCCTCTGCTTTGGAGGAAGGAGCAAGGAGCAGCCAGGCTCTGAGACCGAAAGCCCCAAATGAAGTAGCTCAGCTGGCAGGTGCTTTCCTGGCCCACCAGGCAGTGC